GTTCTGCAGCAAATTAAAAGTGCGTGTAGTTCATCTTCAAGCTGGTTTCTACAATTAAAACAGTTCCGATTTTCCAGGGGCAAGTTTTCATATCGTCCAGTTTCAATATGTAAAGGTGCAACTCCACATCTGAACTTTGCCAGTGCACTTCGGTGTTGTCTCGGAATGGGGCGTTTTAAATATGGTTCAGTGGAGTAGGTAGACTTGAAAGATCTATATGTGCGTAGTTTGTTTCTACCGTTTCGTCCAGTCTCTGATTGGATCTGTTTCTCCCAAGAAGTTATATATTCGTCCAGATTAACTCTCTTAACGATATTAACAAGTAGGCGGCTTTCACGTGATTGAAAGTTGCTATATGTTCCAAATTATTCTTCTGCACAAACTGTAACATTCTATTGTTCCAGTTCCTTCTTGTTGAGGTATCAGCCCAATCACAAATGTTTCTATTTAATCTCTGTCGTCTCATGTTTTTGAATGTTGCCCACAGTCTTGCAACACTTGCCCACTGTCTGGCTACAGGGGATGTCCATCCAGATTCACCTTTAACAGCCAAGTTTGGAGTATACTTTCCAATTCCAAGATAGTAACGTATAGCCCGGTGGTGAATAGCGTTGATACCTGAATATTGAATTGTTCCCCATAATGCCGACCCGTATTCCATCACAGGCCAGACCATGGAATCATAAAGTTTGGTGAACACATTAAGGGGAGACCACCCAAACTTTTGGATTTTGCAATAAGCAGTCCAAGCGCTCTGCTCGCAGATTTGGATGCGGCTTTTGCCATGTCGTTGTAGCTGAGGTGCTCGGTTAGAAGTACTCCTAAATATTGATAATTGTCCACCACACATAATACTTTATCTCGGCATTTAAATGGTACAGATGTTCTGACCTCTGAAGAGGATGACATTTTATCCTGGTTTACACACGTATCATAGGATGCACACCGCTCATCAAGTACAGTTTAAAGTTGGTTACGATCTTCTTTGTTTTCAGCTATAAGAACGAGGTCATCTGCGTATGCCAATATACTAATGTTGAGGTCACCACATTGAACTCCTAGCCCGACTGCGTTGATGTTCTTCGCCAGGTCGTTGATATAGAGGTTAAATAGTAATTGAGACAAAATACATCCTTGTTTCAGACCTCTATTAACACTAAACCATGGAGTAGTTGATATAGGGGTTAAATAGTAAAGGAGACAACATACATCCTTGTTTCAGACCTCTATTAACACTAAACCATGGAGTATATTGTTGGTTAACACGAACTGAACACTGAACACTCTGATACAAAGGACCGCCTCCGTGGTGTAGTGGTTAGAGCGTCCGCCCGGAGAGCGGAAGGTTGCGGGTTCGATCCCCGGCCGCGTCATACCAAAAGACGTTAAAATATGGTACTTGTTGGTCCCTGCCTGGCGCTCGGCATTAATGGGTACAACAAGGACTGGTCGGCTCGGAGTCAGTATAATGTGTCTGAGTGGGGTATTCATGCTTCACTGCGGCATAGTATCTCAGTGGGCTAGCACTATAAAACCAGCTTAAGTCTGGGCTAGTACAAGCAGCCGCACATACACATACACACGCAAGCACGTCGTCATATGAACGAAATATTCTCCAGCGCGACGTTAAACCCAATTTCACCTCACCTCACCTGATACAAAGACTGTAGCGCTTTAAACATTCTTCCACCAATACCGGAATCATGCAGTCGTTCCCACAATTTTCCTCCATTAAAACCATCACAGGCTTTCTTGTGAAGGCTGTATACGTAGACTTCTTCATAAGTTTGATCGTTTCAATAATACTTGTCAGGGAGCTGATGTGATCTATTGTGGATCGACCATGACGAAAACCATTCTGTTCATCACAGATAATGTCATTTTTCTCGGCCCAGGTGTACAGTCTTTCATTTAAAACACTGCAATAAAGTTTGTAGATTGCTGGAGCTATCGTCATCCCCTGTAGCTCAGCGGATCTCTTGGGTCTGCAGAGGTAGACTTTGGTATTGGACACGTGATTCCTTTATTCCACATTTGTGGTGTACACGAGGTTTTTAAACACATTAAAAAGTCAATGTATATCAGGTATATGATCTCCCTGCAGTAAATCCATGGGAATGTTGTCTAACCCAGGTGCCTTGCGTTTCTTAGCTTTACGTAGAGCCAAATTCACTTCCTTCATCATCAGAAAGTGTAAAATCATTGTCGTTCTCTTGATCCATGCACGCCATGTCAGGACCACTGATGTTACAATCCCCGTTCAATAACGTCTGATAGTCTGACTTCCACTTGTCTAACACAACATCTTTATCTCTACATATCTCTCCGCTTTCAGTCACTGTCTCCCATGGAATGTTCTTCCGTCTCTCGTTACCAACTCCAACTTTCCCTATGCGCTTCCAGAATTCCTTATGATTTTGGTCACATATTGTGTCCAGGTCTGTGTATATTTTAGTTTTGTGTAATCTCTTTGCTTTCTGAACCCCTCAATCAAAGATTTTTCTTAATTCAATATATACCTATTTAAGTCTTCTTTTGCCAACCCCGCATTTTTTACACCATATTGTTTCAGCTTCACACATGTCGTTCCACATTTGGGAGAGTTTATTATTCCACCACGCATGTTTATGACGTCTTTTACGGTTACCTCAATTACTATAAGATAAAACAACACGTTTCCTTGGTAATCTCTCACTCATCTCATCATGCACAGTCTTCACAAAGTCATCATAACTCTTGTCTATACAAGTCTGGCCTTGCACAGACGCTTCTAACCGATTAATCATATCCCACAGTTGTTTCAGAGTATGTGGTAATTGGAGAAAGCCATGAGGTGGATCGGATGTGCTGACTTTCTCAAAGTCCTCTGTTTCCGTATCGCAGATATAAGTGTCCAGTTCCATCATCCAAGAAAGAAAAGAATGATCAATTTTCAACGAAACATCTCCGGCAAACATGCCCACGCAGCCAGCACTGTTAACTAGTTCAGAGGGACGCAGCACATTGAAATTATTAAAATTATCTAAACATTCATATGAAACAAAACAATAATCAATGACAGATGAGCCCAAATTGGAAACATACGTAAAATCATTCTTTCCATCACATCGCCCATTCAACATACAGATCTCAGCAGAAAGTCTAAACACAAACTACCATTGTTGTTTACAACTTGGTCAATGTCCTCCTGTGCGGGAATAAGGTCAACACCTTCAATATAATCTGCCTCTGTGCCGCATCTACTGTTAAAATCACCGTGTATGAAAGTCACATTTGCATATTCATATACATTTGTAGTTATTCAAGCAAAGTGCAGTGGAAGCTGTCAAAACCGGCTGCTGTCCAATCCGGCAAGTTGTCACCACCGGCATCAAATCTCAGTCCCGTCTGTGGTTAGTACATTTATCACTGTTAAAATCACCGTGTATGAAAGTCACATTTGCATATTCATATACAGTGAAGTCTCGTTAATCCGGACGGTTGCATTTAAAATTCGTCCGGATTCCGAATTCGGCATCAAGTTGCTTATAAGTAAAAGCTTGGCATTTCGGCATCTGTATCGTAAAAGTCTCTGCACATATATTTCTTGTAGAGTTATTTGGTGGCAGCACACATATGTGATTAACACGTGTGTTTACCTTGTTACATACAGCTAACCAAAGTATGCCTTCAAAAGAATTGTCTTTTACTGATACTTCATATAAGCTCAAATGTTCAGTTCTGATCAGAAAGCCGACCCCTCCTGACCCTCGTGTTGCACGTACATGGAGCAGGTCACGGTGATGACCATACCGTGTATAGCCTTGCACCTCTATAGTGTCTGAACCTCATGCGATACGCCAAACAATGCAATTTAATTATACAGAGATAAGGGATTTTCTGTACACAGCGAGATAATTCTAATACAATCTCCCAGAGTTAATTAAGGATAAGCCGAATTAAAACGAAGATTATCGTTTGTGCATTTGAGACACCAATTAATTTCAATGGGACCATAGTCAATTGTCACATTACGTATACAATTCCATTATGACGCTATTTGTCAGGGTTTGTGAGACGACATTAAATGTATGCAGATCATCTAAACCATTCAATTCATTAAGTTTATAAAAGATCAAATTCCTATAACGTTTTCTTTAGGTATATGAAAAACTAAATACATGTATGTATTTTTTTAAACAAAACGATTGGCAATGTATTGCTTGCCATAGACCAATTATTATCATGCATATTTTGCTTGAATGTGTTGATTTTACAAATATTTGGCGACGTTTTTATGATGATGTCCCTACTTTATGAGATAATTTTAAGAAACGTTTTGTGACCACTTGATTTTAGTGTATTTCAACGAAATCAAACTGTATGAAGAAAATATCGAGTTTTATCTCGTAGGTCAGTTTTTTACTCTTGAATATGATATTTGACTGACATTTTAGTGATTTTTCAACATCTCTATTATTGTGTTCAGTTTATTACACATTTTCTCGCCTCGAATAGCTCCAAAACTGGTGATGCGGCATTAAGCAATACTCAGTCAGTTCCTTGATTCTGCAGATCCCGTGGACCAATCTTTAAGACCAATTGAAATGAAATGAAATGAAATCACTTGGATAAAAAATCATTCATTCATTTATATTTTAGTACTTTTCTTTATGTGATTTCATGGTTATTTAGTGTTTCCTAGGCCATGCTGGCTACACACAGTGACGCGGACTAACTTCCATTTCCTAACCAATGATTTGAATTTTCCCGATAATTCTTAACCCTTTATTAAATCTATGTACTTCTTCATGTTACTGTCTGTGAGAATATTTTCTCAACTGCTCGCTCACGAAAGCAGGTCCCCCATGCATTCGTGCGATTTAATTGAGGGCTTTGTACGCAAGGTCTAATCTCTGCACACGGCACGCTAATCCTTTCGGCTCTTTACACAGACATTTTCAGCTGGAAGACTGAGTCTCACAAAACTTCCGCTTAGTAACCGTCGACGCATGAGCAAAGCGGCTTCAAAACTGGTCTTCCTTGGCAACCCGTCAACAGCGAGTCAGGCGTCAAGAAATAACAGCTCAGACTGGATGTAAATTGAAGTCATCTCACAGATCCAGGAGAGTGTACACATTACCGACATTGCAGCGACTTCAGCATGGCGTTGCCATTTTTACCAGGGAATTCCTTCACTAGCAGCGTAAGCATTTATTCGTTGTTTACTTGTTGAATATCGGAATATGAGTGGTATCACTGGTATCTCAATCTGTACTCTATAAGTAACTGCACTTGTTATCGTCTATGGTTATACAATGTGTTCAGAAATCTAAAGTGAATACTATTTAGTAGCGTTAACTGACATATATTTAGTTCTCAAAACTTGTTGTTATTGTTTTCTACTGCCGTGTTACACGGCAACTATGGTGACTGGAAACTGTCGGAATGCTTTGTGTCGTGTGTTATCATACACATTCCTTATAAAGTACATTTAAAAAAATGTAAACTGTATATACACGACCGTATAACATAATATGCAAATAATAGCCTAAAATGATGAGGGCGTAATAACGACTCCTGCAGACACAGTCTGAATTCAGAGTGCAGAACGTTTTTCAGTCTAACACATTCAATGAATAAGTCTACTTATAACATGGCTAAAATGTCGTTGAAATAATGGTAAAATACATAATGTGTCAATCCTGGACTTGGAATTTCTATGAAAATGCTTATTGGTATATTTACTGCATGATTTGATCTGTTTATTGACTGTTATTTCATGCAATGAGCATAGTCAACTTATGATCAGCATTGGAAAACAATTGTAACATCTGGATCTTCACCTGTCTCATGTCTATAACTAAACCTTATAAATGTGACTACATGCAGGCTTATTTTACATGTAATATTTTTAGCAGTGTGGATAAAAGACACACACATGCTCAGACCTTGTAATCTAAATACACCTGTAAGCATACTAGCATTTTCTGTCTATTACTCAAGTACAAAACAGTTTCAAAGAAGACTGTTTAATATTATGGAAGGTGTAATATTGCAATATTTGAAGACGTCACGTAGGTAATACATATACATAATCTTTGTTAATTCAGTGATTTTGACAGTTTCATATTTTAAAAATTTAAGTGAATTTAATCAAATCAGTTTTTATAGGTGTCTGAAAACTGCTGACTCTTTACTCCTAGGAATATTTTTAAATTACAAAACTGGTAACCATTAAAAAACTGATTACTGAATAAATTATATTTGTGACATTTTATCTTAAATTTTCTTGTTTCAGATGGGAAAAACAAAGTACCACAAATCTCATCACTTCGACAATTGCAACGATGTCTCGATGCTGGTGGGTCATGAGAAGCCAGGTATTGGTGGTGAGCCTCTCCTTGGACAGAAACTGAGACCTAAAAACTCAGTGTTCCCCAGTGGGGAGGGTACCAATGTTCCAGCTTGGGTGGCCTTCGACAGGCAGGTCCTTTGTTTTGATGCTTTCTTCCAGGAGGCTGTTCATGAGAAGAGAGAAGAACAGTTCCGAATCAGGAATTGTAAGATCTACTTCTACTTGGAGGATGATTCCATCCAGGTTATAGAGCCAAGAATAAAGAACGGTGGCGTTCCTCAAGGTTGGTGAAGCTAAGATTCAGCATCCACTTGTATATAGTAATCTTAGCACTACGACAGTCGTAAACCCATGCTATTATCACCTTAGTGCTGAGGTTGCTTTGTGCAATTTATTCAGATGTCTTGTGAGGATTTGTGTGGAGGTTTTGTTATGTGAAATTGCTATTCATTAAAGTGTGGAATCTGTGAAATACATTTCGCTCTACCCCCATGTATGGTGTAGTTTTGCCCTATGCTATTATAGTTAAAGCATGAGGACGCTTATATAATGATATGATGGTTCAGGGAAAACTGTAGGGCAAACTGTATTTCTTTTCTAAGATGCCAAATTTAATACTTTCTGACGATTAATCTAAGGCACAACAGAACAACAATCCTCATTCAGGGCTAACTGACATGATGTTCTTTTGATCAGGTTTATGTGTCTATCCCTCTGCATTAAGAAACATGTTACCAATGTAAAACAAATGATAAAAAGTTCTAAGTTGTTTTAGGTTGATGATCCTTTCTTTATCATTCACTCATATTTTAGCCCTAATGATAATTAAGCCAAAAGTCAGTTAAACTGTCAGTTAAACTGTAGGAGACTGTGCTAAGGTAATGACTAGAATGACAACAGATGTACAGTTACCAAGGGTATGTTTGATGACAAGGGGCCCTCTAGAACGGCGGAGTGACATCAGTTCATTCATTTTTGTGTGTATGATATATAAACCAGATTTACTTTATATACATCAGGGTAGCTTAGTGGTTAAAGTGTTCTCTCATCACACCGAAGACCCAGGTTTGACTCTCCACATAGATACAATGTGTAAAGCTTTCTAGTGTCTTCCACTGTGAAATTACACTCAATCGCATCATAATGTATCTGTATCTGTCAGGAACCCTGATCCGAAGACATCGGGTGCCAAAACCACCACCACATGATGACGTGTTCTACACAGTGGAGGACTTCAACATCGGAGTAGAACTCAATCTGTACTCCAAGGTCTTCAAAATCACAGGCAGTGACGAGTTCACTCAGAACTTCCTCAGGAAACTCGGCGTTCGGATCAACGGCCCAAGTGACATTCCTACTGATCCCTACGTCCAGCACCGGAAAGCTGTAAGTTAACTGTGGGAATTGAGCAAATAACATTTGTGGTGTTATTATTTTTTTTAAATAATCTGAATAATTCAGTATGTACTTTAGAGTGAGAAAGATAGACTGATGCCACTATGTATTTTTTGATTTTCTAACAATTTATTTTCAATGCATCGTTTGATGAGAAGTTTAAAATTGAAGAAATAGTACAAGTGTGTCACAGAAATAAATCTACCTTGAGTGTTGCCATGGATAATGATGTATGGGCAGTGATGTTGTCTGGTGGTTCACAGAAGATACTCCAGTTATCAAAGTTGTGCACCTGTGAAGAGTTATGTCCCCTAGGAATGATAGGTGGAGGTGAAATTGTTTATGTATGGGCATAGTGCATGCGTGATGTTGTCTGGTACGAGCCCAGACTTGGCTTTATAGTGCTAGCCCACTGAGATCATGCGCAGTGAAGCATGAATTGACACATTATACTGACTCGAGTCGACCAGTCCTTGATGTACCCATTAATTGCCGGGGATCAAACCCGCATCCAGTTATCACTACACCCGGAGGCGGTCCTTTGTATCAGTGTTCAGTGTTCAGTTGTGTTAAGAGTTATACTCCATGGTTTAGTGTTAATGAGGTCTGAAACAAGGAAGGCCCATGTCAACTTCTCCAAGTGTTAATAGAGGCGGTCCCTAGGAATGATAAAGGACCATGTAAAAATAGTGGTTATTCACTAAAACTTTCCACACTTCAGATTTCCTTCTGAATAATTTCACACTATATACAAAATACTGTTTAATGCAGTGGTATTTAACTTACTTGCTTTTAAGACCTTGCTCTAATGGCTGATTTAGTTACATTGAGTATGACTGTCCCATCATATATAATTGTTGGAATGGGGCTAACGGCAGTGAAATAACATGAAGTTGAAATCAGTTTACTTTTTACAAAATATTAATGATATCATATACTGTATATGGTGTAGTTAGTTCTAGTGAGATCTATCATGAATCTGCATGACAGTCTCCATTAATTCAATGATATCATTTTTTGTCATGGAATGACTGATGATATGTTGATATCTTCCTCTATGAAAGAAGACAACTTATTGAAATTTTCTCTGTCCTGTTTCAGATGGACGAAAGCATGCAGCCACTGCGCCCCTACGAGAAGCATGACACTCTCAAACAGTTCCTGGACCATGACCGTCATGTTCTACGTTTCTACTGCTACTGGGACGACAGTGATAACATGTTCGGTGATCCAAGGGAGATGATCCTGCACTACTTCCTGGCTGACGACACGATTGAGATTCGCGAGTGCATCCCACCAAACTCCGGCCGTGATGCTGTCCCGGTGTTTGTCCGCCGAGGGAAACTGCCCAAAGATGTAGATTCCCTGAAGCAACCGGGCACCGTCACTGACCGTACAGTTCTCAATGTATTTGGACCAACTGGACACGGTGGCCGATACATTCTGGACAGCTTGAAGGTCAGTGTAATATCTAATGGATGTTTAGATGTTAATAGTTTGCTGTTATTAGTGATGAGGATGGACATTTTTACTAAAGTCCAATATATATTAATCCATGATAAACCAATTGTTCGATTCACATCCCGTGCTGCCTCGGATAAAATAGTTTCTTTATGTGATGAAATACACCCGACACTTATTCCTACAAGAGAATACCCGTGAAGATCCGGATTAGAATTGGTCTTCAGTAACCCATGCTTGTTGTAAAAAGCGACTAGCGGGATTGGGTGGTCAGGCTCACTGACTTGGTTGACACATGTCATCGTATCCCAATTGCGTTGATCGGTGCTCATGCTGTTTGATCACTGGATTGTCTGGTCCAGACTTGATTATTTACAGGCCGCCGCCATATAGCTGGAATACTGCTAAGTGCGGCATAAAAATAAACTCACTCACTCCTACAAGAGAATAATCCTTCATCAAGTCCATTAACAGTCACTTTCTGGACACAACTGTCTTGAGTTGTTTATTCAATATTGTTGTGTTACAGTGGACAAAAACCTTATATTGAGGGTATTAATAATTATGGTCAAAGTAAATTATGATATCTCAAAGGAATATTATGCACTTAAGACAAACCCAATTTGTTGCTCAAACAAAAATATGTGGAAGAATGGGTGCTAGTATTTTGCTGATTAGTGGAATAATTGCAAGCAATAGCAGTTTCATTGTCAAAGTAATGCAGCATCAAAAGGTTATTTGTCAACTACAAAGTACGGTATGTATAAGGTTGCTGATATTGGCGGCAGTCTGTGCCAACAATGCTTTGAGACTACTTGTTCGAACATTCCCCTAAGCATGAATTTCTGCAGATTTTAGTGTTATCATGTTGACTTTTCACAGCAGAGCTTACTAAACCAAACATAATATTACAAGACTAAGGCATTAAAATTGCAGTGTTAATACTGTTAAACATGTGCATTAACTGTGCAATTTCAGACTGGAGCTGTTCACACTGAATTCTACAAGGACACCGACCTGTCTATAGGGTCTGTGTTGAATGTATGGGGACGGAAGTTCCTGCTTACTGACTGTGACCAGTTCACTCAGGAGTACTACAAGACCAAGTATGGCATCGGTGAGTCATACTCTTGACCTGCTGTCTTTAAAATGAGATGTTTTCCTCAGAAACCTTTTTGCATGAAGATCTGACAACACTTCCAGAGGAGAGAACATCATGTGAATGTTCATTTCTGCCTATAAGAGTTATGACTTCATAACATTTGAGAGAAGCATTAAGAACGTCTTGCTGAGGCAATCTGATTGGTCAGTTGGGGGACACTGAAGGGACATAACTCATAACAGCCACTGGTGGTCCTAAGATTGAGACATGAAATTTAAGCAAGGGTGAAATTGGGACCTTTAAAGTCAGTTAGCTCATAAACCTTGGGAAAATGCATTCAAAACAGCTTATCTGCTTTCCATTTCTTGAAAACATAAGGTGCCAGTGTTCTGAATTAATAATAATCAAGGTCACACTGCATATGTTATGGACCCGTGAAGGTCCTGATTAGAATGAACCTTCAGTAACCCCTGCTTGTCGGAAGAGGCAACTAACGGGATCGGGTGGTCAGGCTCGCTGACTTGGTTGACACATGTCATCGGTTCCCAATTGCGCAGATTGATGCTCATGCTGTTGATCACTGGATTGTCTGGTCCAGACTCGATTATTTACAGACCACCGCCGTCATATAGCTGGAATATTGCTGAGTGCAGCGTAAAACTAATCTCACTCACTCATATGTTATGGATATTTAATACACCTTGTTGTTTCTGAGCATCCTGGTATTTTCACCAAACATGCTGCACCCTTATGGGAACATTCCAATATGGTTACAAATAGCAAAGCCAGTGTACTTACTATCCATCACCATTTTATAATGCTGGAATTTTTTAATTTGAACATCAAAACATACTCACTGTCTCTAGATAAAGGTAGTAGTTCCCCATACCTGAGAGTGTGAGTGAGTTTAGTTTTAGGCCACTTATGCAATATTCCTGCAATATCATGGCAGGGGACACCAGAAATGGGCTTCACACGTTGTACCCATATTACCACCCGCCTCTTTGGCTTAATGAGTGAACGCTTTAACCACTAGGCTACCCCACCACCACCCTTCCCTATACCAATTTTTGTTTGTGTTACAGAGGAGTTCTCACCCATCAGCTACAAGCAGACCCCCAGCCGAGGGGTAAGGAAAACCTTCCCTCCTTTCAATGGGTTCGGAAGTGAGGAGGATTCTCTGTGTTCCTGCATGGGCCTGATGCCCAAACCTCCCAAGAGAGACTTCATCAAGTTCATGGAGAAGGACCGGCATGGGCTGGACAGTAACGTCCTTCGCTTCCTGGGCCGCATGAACACCAGCAAGCCCATCGACATGGACAGGCGTTTCATCATCTCCTACTTCCTCAGTGACGACAGTGTGCTGGTGTTTGAGCCTCCCGTCAGAAACTCAGGTAACTGTTTTTTTTACATCAGCAGATAGTATACAGTGGGTAATTGAACTTAATTTCAAGCATTTGCAAAAATTATATTCAGGTCATTTTTATTTCTTGAAAAGAGTATGCAGTATATTATATCAGATACAGGATGAACAGATGGCATTGGCCCTATGATGCATCGTAAGACTTTTCAGTGAAGCTTCATATTAAGAGGCATTTGTGTTCAGATTCTGTAGGCCTTTAACAGCAGTGATTTTATTTATTGTTGGGTTTAAAAGTTTGAATATAATAAAAGACAATAAGAAATTTATTATAAAGAGTCAAGAGTGTTGTATATGATAATAAAACGTTTTTTATCTTCAAAGAATAATATAAGTATGTATTTACCAAAAGTTTCTCAACACTGTATAAAGAAAGTATCACATGAAATAACGTTTTACTGACAGGTTTACAGAAAGAGTGTGTAATTTCAGTTCTCAGTGTCAATGATTTGTATTTAAATTCTGATAGTTTATTATCTATGGTACAATGTCTATATTGCATGGATATGTGCAGGGTATGAAACTCCCAAAAATTTCAGCCAGACCACAGGGCTGGTTAGATGATAAACTTGCCAGCCCTGACCAAAACTTACCTGCCTACAAAATATCTTCATACTACATGTCTAAATTTTAACCTGACCGTCGGGCAGGTGAATCTGAGAATCTGGCAGTCCATGTCAAAAATAACCTGTCCCAGGCAGTCTGCGGGGAATTTCGAATGCTGATATGTGTTTTCATGGGGACAGGGCACTTTTTCACATTTCACATACTGATGGAAAGTTGTTATTAGTAATGATATAACCCAAGTTCCCTTGCTGGGTTTAAGTGACAGACAAAAGATTGTTACAGGTTTCAAAGTTTGTACACATTGATATTCATGTTATCATGAATCTTTCCAACTCACATGTAAAGGATGTAACACATATGATTGTACCAAAATAACACACTAATTCTGAATTCATGCTTCTGTTCATTAAAATCTGTCATTGAGTACACAGTTTCCATCATTATACAGTTATCTTTAGTAAGAAATCTACTCCCAGTTCTATTTTTCCAGTCTGCCTACAATCTGCTGTTTCTAGTCTTGTCTTAATAGTGATTAATTTGGTGTTGTAAAATTGCCTTAGAGCTCTTCCTAGGAGTCAAAAAAGGCATAAGTGCCAATTAGATGAAACTCTTCTCAAAGTGTGAAATAATTAAAACTTCCTTTATCCTATTATGATGCTCATGATGGCCACACATTTCATCGACCATTTTTTGGTTCTGATGGCCTTGCGAGGTTGCGTTCAGATCCATTGATAACTAGTAAGGTGTTGTTTACATATAGAATAAGTTGACTTCTCTATGCAAGCATAGGCTCCCTGTACTTGCTGTGAGAGGTGACTAATAGGAACAGATGGTCGGGCTCTCGGATTTGGTTGATGCATGTAATTGTATTTCAATTGTGTAATCAATGCTCATGATTTTAATCACTGGATTGTCTGATTTAGGCTTGATTATTTACAGTCTACCATCATTTCTTCATTGCCCACCTCACTACCAAACAAGATGCTTGACATCCATTTATAGTCCCCAAATACCCACAGAAGAAGGAAATCACATACTGTGTACCTTTCTTTATATACTTGATGATATGTACCATATACACAGTCCTGCCAAACATTCATGTGAATCACATGAATGTACACAGATTCTACAATTGTTTTTTTAATATTTTTTTATATTAAACACCTCACATTTATTTAGATATTGGATGGAAATTGAATAATCAACTTATGATTACCTAATATTGTTATGTCATTGTTATTCTGATCATGTGTCCTAGAATCTGCACCACAAACAGAAGGAGGTAGGGTGACAATGGTTCTCCTTGCCTACAGCCTCTTTCATTTGCAATATTGAGGATAGATGGTCTTTTCAGTAATAGATAAGCTTCTATTGTTTTTTTAGTGTTTATTTTCTAAAGGAAGGCTAAGGCCAATTTTTGCAATACAAGCATACCATTTTTTCAGAGAATTTTCCAATGCTTTTATCATTATCATTTAGAAGTAGCAATTTCTATCTTAATTTCATACATTATATTACCAAGTAGCCGTATGTTCTTTCTTACCTATTTGTCCAGTTCGTTGTTTTCATGAATAAGGAGCAGAAGAGTCATTATCCTTACTGTATTTAGACTTAGAGATTAGTTGATATATTCACTAGACCAGAAAATGAACTGCTACAGAGTGGCTATGTATGTATAAACATGTTTAGTGCAATAATTATTTTGAGTGTTCCAGCCTGAACATAGCTCTCAACATCATTTTCAGTAGATTTTAGTGATATTATATAGACAGGGCTTTCTAAAACAGAATTGTGCATGACTCTGGCTTTGGCCTAGTGGCTAAAGTCCCAGACTGTTTATCTGTACCCATCCTCGATAACTCCAGGGTATACGTTCCGAGGAGGGTTATCAGAACGTATACCCTGGAGTTAACGAGGATGATCTGTACCTAGATGATGAAATTTTCTATTTTAGCATATTTGCAGTCTGTGCCAAATATTTGAGTCTGCAAGCTCTAAATTTGCTTTTGCCAGTTGGCACTGTTTTCAGTAGATTTAAGTGTTATCATGTCGATTCTTTATAGAATCATTATGGACTATTGTTTTCCATTGATAGGAAAGCTAAAAACATTTCCTCTAGTTTAGTATCTTGTTCTTCAGCTATTAGATTGTACTTTTTCCTTTTACAGTAGATAGCTTAGGTAATAGTCTTTCCATAAGAAATGGTTAAAAAAACATGTTTTGTAAAACCTCCTCCCTATTGTTAGTCAATCTTATCTTTATCACTTTCTTCTTTAGCATATTAGTCATAAAATTTCCTTAATACAATTAGAAAATTGTTTCCAATAAGTGATGTATTGACTTTCCATTAGCCTTTTCCACTTTCTTTACTGAAAATTTGAGAGGATAGATGTAATGACAGAGTCTTTCGGATGTTTAGCCTGGATTATATTATTTATTACTCAATGCTAATATTTGTATATTGCCAATATCCAGCTCAGCTGCTCAATGGCGCTGGATCACTAGCCTTATGCCTTAGACAGCTGGCCCACCATGCCATCATGTCTGCTAACAAAGGCTAATTAGCCACATCTCTGAAACAATTGGAATGTCAGTTCTACTGTCTAGGATTCATGTCAATCACAGCATTAAATGTACACAGATTCTACGAATGTTTCTTTAATATTTTTTTATATTAAACACCTCACTTTTATTTAGATATTGGATGGAAATTGAATAATCAACTTATGATTACCTAATATTGTTATGTCATTGTTATTCTGATCATGTTTCCTAGAATCTGCACCACAAACAGAAGGAGGTAGGGTGACAATAGTTCTCCTTGCCTACAGCCTCTTTCATTTGCAATATTGAGGATAGATGGCCTTTTCAGTACTAGATAAGCTTCTATTGTTTTTTGTGTATAAGTATATTTTTCTAAAGGAAGACAAAGCCATTTTTTGCAGTACTAGCAAACCATTTTTTCAGAAACATGTTTCGATGCTTTGTTATTGTCATTTAGAAGTAGCATTTTTGGCTTATTTTCTTTCTTTCATTCATTAAATTACCAAGTAGCCATATGTTGTCTTTTATCCATTTGTCCAGTTTGTTTTTCATGAATAAGGAGCAGAAGAGACATTATTCTTACTGTCATCAGACTTACTAAGGCCTAAATCTATATATAAACATATTTAGTGTAAATGCCAAAATTGTAGTGGGGAGTCAATGATCGGGTGAGTTTAATAGGATGTTTTATTCAAACTTGCTAGGGATCCACTTGATTAACTAAATTAGTGTTAAGCGCTTCACAAAATAGACATTCTATGCGCAAAAAGCTGAAATACCAGGAAGTGAAACTGTAAGTTATTGTTACATGATGGATCATGGATGATTCCCGACCGTTAATAAAGAAAAAAATATGGGAAAGATTCCAGTCAGAAAAAAACCCCAAACCATGTCAGATAGTTAACTGAAGGCCACGAGGGGCTGCAAATATTTGAAACTGCCGGCCCGATACAATAACAACTTAACCAGTGCTGGGCCTCTGGTCTGGCGGTTATTTCAAACGCTGCTAACGTCTAATTTGGACTAATGTTAATTTCACACCCTGTTAACACAAAACCTGTATTGTGTACATGTAGCCTAAAAGTCATAATTATTCTTTGAGTCTACCAGCCTGAACATGTCACTCTTACAAGCACAGAAATGTACTGTACTATGGTTTTGTCTAAAGACACCGATCGTGTAACCAGTGGTTGTCTCTGCAAAAACGAAATGGAGTCATCTGGATCAAACCTTGCTGTTGCCAGTTGGCACTGTTTTCAGTATATTTAAGTGTTATCATGTCGACAATAATTAGCTGACCATAGCAAGATCAAATAGAATATTAGTCTTTACTAGTAGATAAAGGCACAGAGTAAGTTCAAGTTTACAAGTTATATCTCCTCTAGTTATTGTTGTAGTTCGTTTATTATTCTTGTACACATCTTTTATATGTCTATTGGTTCAAAACCATAAATCATTATAGAAAAACCATTAAATATTCTCCACTTATACTCTGAATAGTATATAATCCTGAACTATTGTTTTCTATTGATATGAAGGTTAAAGCCATTTCTTCTAGTTTAATGTCTTCTCCTTCTTCAGCTATTAGATTGTACGTTTCCCTTTTTACAGTAGATAGCATAGGTAATAGTCTTTCTATAAGAAATGCTTATAAAACATGTTTCTTTTTTAAAAGACTTCTACCCCATTGTTAGTCAATCTTATCTTTATTACCTTTTTCCTTAGCATATCAGTTATAAACTTTCCATAATTCTATTAGAACGTTTCCCATTAGCGATGTATTAAATTTCCTGTAGGATTTTCCACTTATACTTTGAAAATTTAAGAGGATAAATGTAATGACAGAGTGGTCAGATTTATGGCCTGGATTATATCTGCCTACAAAATCAAATTAGCCACATCTCTGGAATAATTGGTAAGTCAAGTCAGCTGTTTCACCACCATGTGTATAACTGGTTCATTTAAGTATCTCCAAATATCAGACAATAACAGGTTGTTTATGCACTCATGGCTTTCTTGGTTTACTGATAAGTTTAAAACAGGCACACTGCCAAAATTACTCACCATTTTTATAGACCAAATTCTTTTCCCACCTGTTTGTTCATCAGAATGGATACAAGTGTATAATATAAAACTTAAAATAAATCCCTATGTTTAGCAGGGGCTGCATATTATGTATGGGTGTGCACAAGAAAATAAGGTAGTCTCTTTTTAATGTCCTTTTACTATAAATCATAAAGTGCTTTTGCATTTTGTCTTCTTAGAAGGGTCTTGTTAGGAAAAATTCCAAAAATATGACAAACATTAAGAGAGAATCAGTATTTTGGACTATTTTCAGTATGTTTTTGCCTTAAAAACTTATGACCTACTGCCACATGAAATAAATGACCACCCATTTAATAAATAGACTTGTGCTTCTTGAGTAATTGTGAAACCACAATCCTGCATAGACCCCACTCCTTCCTCGTTGTAGATTCAAGTTCTGTAGAGATTTGAACATCCTCGATGCTGCTCTGGGCAGTTAATTTTACAACAATTTTTTTGTTTCTTTTCATTTTTGCTTTTCAGCTGCAGTTTAAAAGATAAAATCTGCATCATATTATGCCTAGTCTAGGCTTGTTAACAAGTTTATAATGACATGTACGTGATGACAAGACACATCCCTTCTTCTCCGATGTTAAGAGATGAGGATGAAGTCAGTCCGATACTTGTCATGTTACAAAATAGAAAGCCAGCAGTACCTAAAACGTCAAGAACGGAAGGATCTCCTTAAATTCTAAGTTAAATTTATTCAAATTGACTGACACTATTTTAATGTTAAATTTGGAAAGTGATGTCCTGTTGCATATCAGATGATTTCATATGTAGATGATTATGTGAATTATTTGCAGGAAAAATCTTTTGAAAATGAGTTTTTAGGAAATTAGATTCGAAAATACAACCAATAAGTTTGATATTTTAAACCTAATGTTCGCGTCAATCAGCCAATCAGTTATTAGTAAACAAATCAAGCAAATCAAGAGTATAAGAAGTGTCTCTACCTGGAGATGTCCAAATATATCCTAATATGGATATCCTGTGGAAGCAGTATTGGGTATATGTGTGCCTATCAGTGTCTGAAATTGGGCATGAATGTCTACAAGTTGTCATAACCCAAATATTGAAAGTTAGAGATTGAGGTGATCCCTATGGTATCAGCAGACCTCAAGTAATTAAGAACTCCCCAATTCAAAATACTTCCTGCCTTCCAGACATTGTAATGTTCATCTTAACATTATTTAGGAATCATTGGTGGCAAGTTCCTTGAGAGAGGCCGAGTAAAGAAGCCCGGCCAGGAGCCCTACAGCACAGAGATCTCCAGCTACTACACAGCTCAGGACCTGTTTGTTGGAGCTAGTGTGGAGTTCAATAAGTTCAAGTTCATCCTTATTGATGCTGATGAATATGCATTCAGATACATGGAGGAGCACCCCGCAGAAGTGAGTACTAGGTTTCAACTGTTATGGTTAGAAATAAGGCAACAGCCATTTGAGTGTGAGTGTGGTTTTCAGCAATTTTCTAAGAGCAATGCTTTGACCATAGGCTGATGCCTGTTTAGAGACCAGGGCCAATAACCTTTGAATTTGTTCTAGAAAATGGTGGAAAAAATAATAGATACACAAAATGTTTGCTGGACATACTTGATGTAACATGTATAATTTTGTTTCTGCTTGAGTACAAAACTTCTGACATCCTTTTTCATTAAAATACACTCATGTAATAATTTCGATGTCAACTTGTTTGATAATGTATGGAACTTTAGGCCTAAAAATATAATCTTAGCTTTAAGGCACCCGCAGCATCATCATAAAGCCCATGACATGTTTCCTTTTTATTTCCTTTAAAAAACAAGAAGTAGTAAATATTCTGCGTCTCGAATACACAAAGTCTGCAGCGGAACGCTACACTACTCACATGAGAGTGCTTAGAGTTACTTCCCATTACATGCGCACAGAGACGTGAAAATGCATGTTTTGGTTATTAAACGGCTGAAAACAGGATAATTGTTTGGTAAACTTGTAAAAACACGCTCCAGCTTCCTAAAAATGTAAAAGAACAAACACACCGCCCACCCTTACCATTTTTTCAAAAGCCATTGCCTGAGAACCAATTCTATGTATTTTGGGGGCCTTATCAATAGATTAGTCTGATGAATGCATTCATGGTGTCTGTCTACTACAGTTTGTTTATGGAATTGATATTCTGAAAACTATCATCCCGCTCTACACAATATAGCTCTCATTTATGAGTTTTTTAAGACATGGATATTAGCACAACATTTGATCCGAGGTGTCACATGCGCTACATGTTTGCCGTGTTTAACAAAGATGTATCTGTTTTCAGTTCCCCATAGCTAATGTGAAAGCTATCTGCCAGAAAGTGTCCAGCCAAATTGGCCAGAACAAGGAGGATATCCGAGCCTTCTTTGCCAGGAACGACTCCAGTGGCAATGGCATTGTGTCATATGAACAGTTCAGTGGTCTCCTGCGACAGATTGATAGTTCCCTGACAGAGCATGAGATTATGACAGTGGCACGGTACTACAGCGAGCAGAGGCCTGAGGATGCCATGGACCACCTGAAACTTGTTGCCATCATACAGGAACAGCTAAGGAAGAGGAACTTTGAAGGTTTTGGAACCCTGGTTCAGAGCTTCCTGCACGCTGACAAAGAAAAGTGAGTGAATGCAGTGTGAACTTGCTCTTAAGGGATGTGAGTGAGTGAGTTTACGTTTACGCTGCACTCAGCAATACTCCAGCTATATGGCGGCGGTCTGTAAATAATTTAGTCTGGACCAGACAATCCAGTAATCAACAGCATGAGCATTGATCTGCGCAATTTGGAACCGATGACATGTGTCAACCAAGTCAGTGAGTCTGACCACCCGATTCCGTTAGTCGCCTCTTACGACAAGCATGGGTTACTGAAGATCAATATTCTAACCCGGACCTTCACAGGTATTTAAGGGATGTGACTTTATTCCAGATGTTGATCATTTAACTGAGCAAAGTGGTTCCTAGTAGATGATTACGGTTTTACTATCCTTTTTATTATTTTTTTCTATTTCATACATACATATATAAGGCAGACATAATATATGGACAATAAACATTTCAGTGATCAATAATTTGGTCATGTTATTCAGGTCATGGATAAGCGTAATGGATACATACAAGTTTTAACTGATTACTTCATTTATACTATATATAATTCACAATGACACTATATAAAATTTAAGTGATAGCTGATCACACTGTGATTGATTATTTTATGGCGCTTCAAAGGATAGTTCAGGCAGTTCCTTTCATTTCTTTTTAAAGTCACTATATCTGTTATTTGTTCTTGCTATGAATTGTTCAATTTTACAAATGTCCTTTATTGATGAGACAAATCTGTCAAATGATGGGGAAAGCTGTCCTTTGTTGGCAGAGATTTAATCAAAATTATCTTTTTCTAATCATGATACGGATGCAGTGTTAGAGATGTGTTGTAAAAGTTTAACTCACCCAGTAGCCAGCATGTATGCAAACCTTTTGCTTTTGTGCATTGTGGAAATTCTAGGGTAGACCTGGTTGTCAGTGACTGTGCCAACTGTACTGGGTGAGATAAAGTATTATGTGGACACATGATTGCCTGTCATTATACCCCAGTGTTGTGGATCAGTCACTGGATTGTCTGGTCCTGACTAAATTTTACATGACACAACATATTGTTTGATTAATTAACATGTTAAAGTTAAACGACAATCAAAACATAAATTTATGAGGCATGTGACATTTTTTCAAGTGCTCCTTTTTTTCACAGAAATTTACACATGGAGCTGAGAATACAAAATACTGATCCATTGATCGGGCTAATATGTCATAAAAACGGACTCTTGTCATTATTGCACTATCGTTAAAACACTTAATCAAACCGTACATCATGACATTCTATTATCGCAGCGAATAGCTGCAATATTGCTGATGTAGCGTTAAGCAATACTCACTCATTCTATTCATTACTGCACGATACTCTGGAAGGCAGCTTTAACAAGACTGCATGTTCTTTTGTAGATCTGGCTTCCTGGACGTAGAGACTATCCGCACAGTATTCCATGCTCATCATGTTCCCCTACCTGATGATCTTCTGCGTGCAGGAATTGCATCGTAAGTATACTGACATACTTGGGTTAAAATAGGAGCCAGCAACCTATCACAGTTGTAATAGATGATTAATGGTCAAGTGTGGGTGAAATAATTCATTTGTACACATAAGTAGTGTATGGACTACAGTGATAATTATTATCAGATTTTGAAAATTGTGATCAAGCAGAGAATAAGCAATGCTCAGAATGAGCAAATACAGACAACAAATAATGCAAAAAAGCTCTACAACCAATGACCTTTTCCTTGCAGTGCACCTGCCAATGAGAGTGGCTTAATCCTGTATGAGGAATTTGTGAAGCAGATCAACTGGCGTGATTTCCCAGTACCACCAATGCAGTTTCAGCCTGTGTCTGAAGAAGCTGACTGGGCAGGCACCGCTGCCAAGAATGCTGTCAATGCAGTCAACTACCAGGCCATGCTTTCAGATGTGTTTGGTTCCAGTTAATTGAGCATTTCCTTTCACAGACTTAAGCAGCAATCCCATTACATTATAGGGAAATATCTCAACTATGTGGAAATTAATTGACATTTGTATATATAGATATGGAAAGTTGTACAGGAATTTGTCTGAAGTTTATGTAAGTGGTGTGTTTCCCAAATGATTTCAGTAAAGAAATTAACTCACATAATGTCATTAATAAAACATTCATTATTCATTCTGGAAACAGTTTTCAAAGCCAGTTGTACTGATCAACTATCACACACAGACATGATCAATGCAGCAGGTTTAGGCCTGATTATTTGACCACTTTAATGAAATGTTTAATGATATGGAACAAGTTGATGTTCATCAAGTTGTGAAAGAAAGTTTTTAGCATAATTTATCTTTGTTTTACATCCTTGTCATCATGATCAGTTTGTTACTGTATCCTTTAGATGTTTTTTATGGATCTTTGTGAAATAATGTTTTCATAATATCTGAGATGCCTGTGATATTAAGTTAAATATATACATGTTTTACCAAAAATGCAAAATCAGTCAGAACTATATTTTGATCAGTGCTAGCAGTGTTCACGAATGGTGTTTCAATGTAACAGGACATTGGGTCCTGTAAGTTTCAGATGTCTGTCTGACCCATTGAAAATTCACAGGACCCATAGAATAAAATTAAACACACATTTCAGATTTAACATTTCTAATAATTGGCATTGAAATTATAAACAAACATAAGATTTATAAACAGCAAACAAGTGACACATGTCACATATAACAACTTCAGTCAAAGTCATTGTGAAATATACAGTCAGACACTTGGGCTGGCGGGTTGTAGATTACTGTCAGACCGTTGGCAAATCTGCCAGATTTGTCAGAGGGTCAGATGCTATTCGCGAACACTGTGCTAGGGAAATGAATGCAACTTTGCCACTGTCAGTGTAGGATATAATGGTCCACACCAAACAAATTGTAGTTTCATGCAACCCTGTACTGGTGTCTCTGTCTTGTCGAAGTCCATTCAAGATCTCAAGAGATCCATTTTAAAATGGACAGTTTTTCAGTTTTATTACTGGTACATTTGATATGTATGAGGTCTGGATTTTGTGATCTATAAAGATCTGTATGTTGAGACACAGCTTTGTAATGTATTCACTCACTGCTGATACAGGCCATTGTCCATCACAAATGTAGGCATCACTTCTTTTATATATGCATACATTTATGTTGAGTGTTTTGTACATACTGACTAATGATATCCAAATAAAGTTGTGCATAATAGTGAAAATATCTGTCTGGCTTATTGTTGGGGTTGTGGGGTAGCCTAGTGGTTTAAAGCGTTCGCTCGTCACTTTGAAGACCCAGGTGCGATTCCCCACATGTGTGAAGCCCATTTCTGGTGTATCTTACTGTGATATTGCTGGAATATTGCTAAAAGCAGCGTAAAACTAAACTCACTCACTCTGCTTATTGCTACCTAACACAGACAGTACTGTAAGTTTCCTTTGAAAGGAGGAGTCAAACAACTGTTTGGGAACCACAATTGACTTTTTACATAACATCACATGGTGTAGTGGTTAGAGTGCCTGCCCAAAGAGAGCGGAAGGTCGCGGGTTTGATCCCCGACCGCGTCATACCAAAAGACGTTAAAAGATGGTACTTGTTGGTCCCTGCCTGGCGCTCAGCATTAATGGGTACAACAAGGACTGGTCGGCTCGGAGTCATTATAATGTGTCTGAGTGGGGTATTCATGCTTCACTGTGGCATGGTATCTCAGTGGGCTAGCACTATAGAACCAGCTTAAGTCTGGGCTAGTACAAGCAGCCGCACATAGACATACACACGCTTGCACGTCGTCATATGGCCGAGACCGCCATCTGTGGTGTAGTGGTTAGAGCGTCCGTCCGAGGCGGAAGGTCGCGGGTTTGATGGCGCCATACCAAAAAACGTTAAAAGATGGTACTTGTTGGTCCCTGCCTGGCGCTCGGCATTGATGGGTACAACAAGGACTGGTCGGCTCGGAGTCATTATAATATGTCTGAGTGGGGTATTCATGCTTCACTGTGGCATGGTATCTCATTGGGCTAGCACTATAAAACCAGCTTAAGTCTGGGCTAGTACAAGCAGCCGCACATACACATACACATACACATGCCTGCACGTCGTCATATGAGCGAGACCCCCTCTGTGGTGTAGTGGTTAGAGCGTCCGCCCGGAGACCGGAAGGTCGCGGGTTCGATCCCTGACCGCGCCATACCAAAAGACGTTAAAATATGGTACTTGTTGGTCCCTGCCTGGCGCTCGGCATTAATGGGTACAACAAGGACTGGTCGGCTTGGAGTCAGTATAATGTGTCTGAGTGGGGTATTCATGCTTCATTGCGGCATGGTATCTCAGTGAGCTAGCACTATAAAACCAGCATAAGTCTGGGCTAGTACAAGCAGCCGCACATACACATACACACGCATGCACGTCGTCATATGAGCGAAATATTCTCAAGCACGACGTTAAGCCCAATTTCACCTCACCTCATATGAGCGAAATATTCTCAAGCACGACGTTAAACCCAATTTCACCTCACCTCACATAACATCAAGCATGTACAGTGTGAAAAGTGTATATTTAGAGGTAAATCCCGGAGACACATAAATATTTCCCAGCATTATGAGGAACTGATTATTTTGGTTCTTCATATGCCAGCATTGTGTTGGAATTCTTTTGTCAAATATCCCCATCACATATCAAGGGAAATATCAATGACAACTGCCTATCACATATCCAAGTGCACATCCTACCCACTTGTGTTTATATATATTTATATATTTGTACCTATGGTTATATTACGGATGTCTTTGAAAATAACACAAATTAATAAATAGAAATGTGTCATGAACATTTGTTACTGATGAACATGAAATGCCTATTTTTGTGTAATTCAAACATAATCCAACATAATTTAACCTGAATTGCAATATGGCATCATTCCTCTAGCCCCGTCCCCCTAGCCCCCTTGTTGTTACAAGCCACTAATTAGTACCTCCAGCCCCTCGCCTGGCTGTTCTGCTAGCTGTCATCACTCCCCTGTAACTGGATTAACTGATACTGAGCTCGTTAGGTCAGGTTTGGGTTTAAAGTTTAAAGGTACTGTTTATACATGAGCTGATGTATTTTAAAACAGATTCCTGACGTTAAAAAATTAATTGTCATGTGTTCAATAAATGATGAAACTCGTTGAAAATGGCGATTTTTTTTATCAAAACTTTACACCAAAACGCAGCTGTTCACATGCACGATATTTGCACATGCTTTTCAGCAATTTGATGCATGATCCTCGTGCAATTAATCTTCGTTGTAACCATATGTGGTTGTAACATATAGTGATTGATTTAAGCAAGTCTAAAATTTTGATGGGTAGTATATGATGGACAACTGATCTGACTCTGCATTCAGACAATGTGTCAAGATCTGAATTAATATACTTGTGAATGTAAATAAATATAGAATCTTCATATTTGTTTTGTCAATTATCAGCAACAGTGATCATCTACTGATCAACAATGATCACTGAGCCGTGATTTTCTATTATCTATACCAAGTACCAGTAGTCACCTACTCACAACCAACACCTAACCTAACAAGTTAATTAATAGTAGCAGTTAATCCAGTGACAGGGGAGTGAGTACAGCTAGCAGAACAGCCAAGCAAGGGGCTAGAGGTACTAAATAGTAGCTTGTAACAACAGGGGCTAGGGGGGACGGGGCTAGAGGGGTGGAGTCTGCAATATACTGTCAGTATCCCTCACTAGTTTTCATCAGCTTTGATTCTCTTACTTAAAACGATTCCGAAATCATCCACCATTTTGTATCCCAGCGACAGTCAATCAAAGAAGATGATACAGTCTCACTGAAGTGATGCATAAACACACTGATTTAATATGAAGATTGTCTGAGGCAAGCTTTATCAGAAAGATATTATTTTCCACCTCCATATTCATTATGGAACATAAAAATTATATAATAATTGGCTCTTACATTCCAACATGCTGGAATCAAACTGAAATACTCTTCAAAGAATCATTAAACCAAATTCACTCATTAAAGTATAGACATACTTTGTGGATAACAACTTCTATATTTCGTGATAGAATGTTTTGATGCAGATTCTTGTACGGTTGTCAAGCAGGAACAAGAATCTGTATTGAAATGTCACACTCACGAAATAAAGCAGTTGTTATCCATAAAGTTTGTCTATATTGTACTTCCCAACTTCTAATATGCCACTCAATGAAGTCACTTAGTCATAGTGCAAATCTTGTCAATTTCTGGCATTTTTCAATAATATATTGGGTAAAACATTTATTTTAGAAACATTTATTGGCAACTTGAATATACAAGAAGGAAGAACTCGTAAAGTTTTAGCAACAAAGCTTTTACCAATGTAGTACCTTAGATATTCTAATAATATTCGAGATATTCTACCATGAATGTTGACAGCAGATCCTGAAGTAAAAGAACATTTTCTAAATGTATAAACAATTTGAATATGTGTGCTTATTAAGAAAGTCAATATTTTTGTGTTCATAAGCCCTCAGTTGTCATATTAATCTACTGCCATTCTGTTTGTGTCATGAGAAAGGGTTGTGTCGTGAATAACCTTGAGGTCTTTTTGTAGCTGGTGTAAGTAACTGTGAATCGTCTGGTTCTCATCCTTCATCATTTGCCTGCAACATACACACAACATTTTTTGTTAACAATACTTCTTATGAAAACTTTTCTTGATAAGTATCTTTTTGTCTCAATCAAATAGATCTAGCTATCTTTTTAGGTTAACTTTAAGAGACAGGATTATGAAGATACTGAGTGGAAATTTGATTTCTTCATGGACTTGGTGTGGGACTGTAAGAGTAATACTTAGTTACTTTATACATGTAGTATGGTAGTAATAATCTGTTATGGATAACACGCATAGAGAATACTAAATGAACTAATCAACTCGTGAATGGTATTGGTATCTAACTTGCTTTCACTCGTTAGATACCAAACCATTCACTCATGTCATAAATATGTTATTACACAGGACACAGTTTACTATTTTATTTATTACTCACCCAACATTAGCAAAATAATATCGAGCAAAGTACTGCTTTCCTAAGAATTCAATGAGTGTGATGACTCTCAGATTCCCGCGAGTCAAGCAAGGTCTAATACTGTTGTGACAGAGGTATTAGCATTGTGACGTCATAACTGTAACCACTTTGACCTCATACATACGGCATCATGCGATGTTATTACACAATGTGTAATAACATTGTAAAATTATTAAACAGTGATATCTTCAACGGGTGAGTAATAAATGTAACTATTTTTATATGAAAATAATGTACAAGCCAGTGAAGCTGGTGAGCTTTTTATTTATTATATGTAACAAAATGTAGAAAACAAAGCCTTAATGTTAAACTATATCAATAAATGAAATAACTACAAAACAAATCTGCTTTGCAGTAATGTCATTCACTACGTTTGTAATACATAACCTTTGTACTTTGATATGGAGTATTTGAACCAGCTAATATATTAGTATTACACACACATTTTGTGCAATTTGATCATGAAGCAAGTTCTTTCATTGTGTATGTGCAAAGAATTAATGCATGAGCTGAACTTTTGCATTACATTAAATCATTTCAGATAATTTACAGCTGAAACAATAGAGTGACGTCCCAGATGAAATAGTTCATGATACATTACAGATCAAGATGAAGATAAAAAAGGCAATGCTATGAAAGGATATATTCAGGTTAGGACATAAGTTCTCCAAAGGAAGTCTATAAAACACTTCAAGCTGTTTCTGTTTGATGATATTATTTATCTTACTGTACCCAAAGAAAATGATATGGATAATGTAGTTTTAAACTATGGTGGTGGGTTTTTACTAAACATACTTCATTATTACTAGACATCATAAGGTCATATACATGAATAACAGAAAGGTTAGCTGTTTTATGACTTACCAAATATGTTTGCATGTTTCGTCTGGTATTCCATGTTCCTTGTCATCTGTCTGTGACTTTACTTGTTCAAAGGTATCTGTCAGTCTTTCCACTTCCTGGTTTCTCTTTCTCACTGTACAAATCAGGCAAATCAGGTAAATCAGCCATATGAACACATATATATTTAGGGTGGGTACTAAATGCATTTTTATTGGCTCAAGCTTTACATTTTCATTACATCTTAGTTTTATCACTATGATTTCAAACTGTCATTATTATCAAAGGTTTCTGGACACATTAATCATTTTACTTTAGGTTTGGACTGGAGATGAAAGAAATATCATTAGCAGACTCTACATTTTATTTGATATTCAGTGACACTGAAAATAGTGATACAAATAGTACTGCTTCCAGGGCAAGTGGAAGAATAACATCATGAGTGTCCTTTCACATATCTACTGGTACAGGGGTGGTGGGGTAGCCTAGTGGTTAAAGCGTTGGCTCGTCATGTATATCAAGACCGGGTTCAGTTGATTCCCCACATGGGCACAATCAATGTGAAGCCCATTTCTGGTGTCCCGGCAAGCGATATTGCTAAAGCGTACAAAACTGAACCGAGTCAGTCTACTGGTACACGCCACGTAAAGTTTCTGGAAAAGGGGGATTTGTTTGATAGACTCACATTCAACATTTCATCATGGGTAGATACAATCTTCAAAATATGAAGTTGAATTTTGAGGTTGCCTACTGTTGTTATTGTACATTGGGGTGGTGGGGCAGTGGATAAAGTATTTGCCCATCATGCCATGGACCCGGGTTTGTTTCCCCACTTGGGTATATGAGAAGCCCATTTGTGGTGTGCCCTGCAGTGACATTGCTGGAATATTGCTAAAACCACTACTCACTCACTCACTTATTATAGTGTGTGATGGCCATTTGCCATAATTATGTCTACTCTGACTCACTAAAGATATGAGCACACAAACCAATACTCATTATGAGTATTATAAACTGGGATTAAATTTCTAAGAAACTTACAATTCTGTGTCAGCTCATCAAGTTTCTCTTTGCTAGAAACAAGTTCATTATGAAGATTCCCATCTTTCTAAAAAAGAATTAAACCAAGTCTTTAAATAATACATACACCAGTGTAAAACAACATTAAATTCTGTTTACAGTTTACTGTTTACTCAAGCAGGAAAGTCTAGGGGTCATTGTCATAACCCTAACAGACAGGAAGACACAAACATGCACAACATAAGAACCCAAGTCTTATAAGAATGCAATCATGCACCCTTGATTGATGTTTGATTTAAAAATCTCGATTTTTGGTCTTCAAAGACTATAAGTAAAACATCTACACAGTTTTGTTGTCCCTCAGGGAGTATGTAACATCATGTATTTAAGAAATGGTTTAATACTAGGTACCTGTTTGTGTAAATATACAATGACACTTGAGCCCAAAATTATCGAGTACTGTAACTTTTATGTGAGAGTTGTTGCAGGCAAACATGGTTAATTCTGTAAATTTCAAATGAAATTCATACATATTAAATATTCAAGAAAACCTGCAAACCTGATAATGTGTCTATTTCCTCATGGTGTCAAAATTGTTAAAAATGACTCTGAATCGGTTATGATACCTACATAATGTGCTCGTGCTTTCATCAGTTCTTCTGTAAGTTCAGATAACTTGTCTTCAAAACTGTTTCTGAAAACACCCAAATCTATATAATTTGCCAAGTGAAATAAGTATTTTACTTTTCTTTATTTTCCAAAATGCAGGATGTAATAGAAACTGTAATAGAAACTATATTTTAGTACTAATAGTTAAAGAAAATAAAAAGGACAACACTAATATATGCAGAAACAGATAAAACAGTCAGAGAACAATTTAACAAATCAATATGGCATGTGTCATGTTTATCATGTTACATAGGCCTACTTATAACTAAATACCCAACTTATATTTTTGAAATATTATTGTCTGACAAAAAAAGACTTACACATTTTCTTGTTGTTTTATCTTCTCATTTGCAATGTTTTTATTGATGTCAGCTATTCTATCCCTCCTCTTCTGGTTGGCTTCTTCCAAACTTAAAGAAGAAATACAAAAAGAACAATCAAGGTTATAGTTTTATTATTATATATACTTAGTTCCCAAAAGAAACGCGACATTCATGCTTGTTTTTGAAATTTCCATAATTGTCTTATCTACTTTATAGTCATAACGGATGTGCATGTTTAATGTTCTTTTAAACCAATTTTCGAAATTAAACTTCTGAAACAAGACTTTTAACATCGGATTAGCCGTAACAACCGAATCTAATTATTGAACGTTTTATGGGAAAAAACAACAGAAATGCATCACATAAACGCATGCCCTGATGCGCTGTGCACGTGGATTTAATGATACGACACTTTCTTTAAGAAAAACGAGAGAAAGAACCCTTTAAAAGATGCGACGGCAGTTTCTGTTGTGTTCTTTTTCTGAATGGTTCAGAGAACAATACGCCACGCCTGAGCAATGAAGCACGTCTATGTGCTCTTGGGATGATTGATGCTGGTTCCAGTGTTGTCAACGTTCCGCAACATATGGGAGTACATCGGACGACAATTTACCAACTGATTGAACACCAAAATCAAATGAATTCGATGAGAGACCGACCTAGAGATGGCAGGCCGCGAGTGACGTCACACAGACAAGACCGTTACATCGTAATGTCACATCTTCGCAACCGTTTTCTTCCATCTACTGACAATTCAGACAATTGGAATTCCCAAAGACCAATTTCAAGAAACACTGTGCTTCGACGTTTGAGAGCACACCGGCTACACTGTAGGAGACCCTATGTTGGACCGATTTTGACGCCACGGCACCATCGTCTATGCTTAGCATGGGCTCGCCAACACCAGCATTGGAGATATGCACAGTGGCAGAACGTTGTTTTCTCAGACGAGAGTTGTTTTTGTGTCCACGTTGCATATGGGAGAGTGAGAGTATGGCGTCAACGAAATGAACATTTCAGAGACCCATGTGTTCTGGAAAGTGACCGCTGGGGTGGGCCATCCCTTATGATGTGGGATGGATTAAGCTGGGGAAGGCATGTACCACCTGTAATCTTCCAAAAACAATGGTCAAGGTCGTGGAAGGGGTGCAACTGCACGACGCTACATTGACGAAGTCTTAAGGCCTGTTGTCATCCCGTTCTTTAGACCCAGACCACAGTTGCAGTTTCAACACGATAATGCCCCCGCCCACACCACCATTATCACAGGACAATTCCTGGCCAATCACCACAATGGTTTGGCCACCTCTTAGTCCTGATTTGAATCCAGTGGAACATTTCTGGGACGAGTTGGACCGACGCCTTCGTCAAAGACCAGTTCCTCCACAAAATCGGCGGCAGTTGGAGAATGCAGTGTTGAATGAGTACAATAACATTCCCCGTGCTTTCATTCTACGTTTGTTCATGTCCATGGGAAGACGGTGTACTCATGTGATAAACAATAATGGTGGTCATACCAGGTACTGATAACATCGAATATCAGCTTAAGCTTCTAAACGTGTCTAATGCAGACTCTTCAGGTTGGACACAATAAAAATTTCATCAGATCTTAAATCCACTGTCATTGCTGTTGTCTTTTATCTTTCTTTGGTGCGTTCTGTGTTAAACATATAGTGGCAGGAAGCATGTATGTGGGATAACAGTTCTTATTTCAAATGGATATGTTGCGTTTCTTTTGGAACTAAGTATATATAGTTTTACATATTCATTTAATATGTTTTGGGTCACTTTGCAAAGAGAAGGAATAGAGGGTAGGGAAACAGTTTGTTAAACAGTTAATTTTGATTTCAGTTTCCATAAATAATTTCAGTATTAATTGCCTTGAAATGGATATCACATTCTGACTTTTCATAATATATTTATTTTCAGAACAAATGTCCTACCTGTCTGTTTGTCCTTGTGTCTGTGTCACTTTCAGTTGGGCAACTTTCAATGTTTCTGTAATGTGAAATTACTGCAATTTAATATCTCAGTGCAAAATTATTTAAAGTGTCCTCTGTAGACTGTAGCATCCACTGTTTCAAAGACTGCAATGATCAAATGACTCTTATTAGGTGAGGTAAGGTGAAACCTGTGGACTTCAATAGTGGCTATTTTGTCATAAGGAAACTTGATATTCATTCAAAATATACAAATATTTACCTAAAATAGACCCTTGCTGTGATAACATTTACAGCAATAAAGGAACAAAATCACTAAAATTGTACTATACTAACCCTTAGGTGTACTTACCGACCATTTTGCGATGCACATCACTGACTTGCATCATCTTGCCTTCAACTTAAATTGAATAAAACAGCATATGTCACACCCACCTCATGCTTTAGTAAAGAACAGTAATTTAATTAATCCCTGTTTTGATATAAGGTTAGAGGTAATACAGCTCTACAGTAATTAATTAAGAATGGATAATGCTTAATGTCATTGACAGTGGTTGAAATTCGTAGTTCTAGTACCTCTGGGATCCAAGGTATTGCTACTATATTGTTTCACTCAGCTGACCCTTTCAAAATTGCCTAAACTTAAAATGACTTTGTATTAAGGGCACACTTTGCTGAACATATAGAAATTCACTTTTCCTAACCGATAATTTTCGATAAGCCTAAGGATATCTTGTAAATTCCCATGTTGATCTATGTATGGCAGAATTAACAGTAAATCATTATTCTGTCGTAGTTGATCACTTATGACCATCGTGATAAGTAAATAAGGGGCGTTACTATCTTCTCAAAGTAAATTTGTAATGTTTGAGTAGGGCGATGAACTTCGACAGAATATCTTCCAATACTTATCCACTTACCTCTTTCAAGCTCGCATTCACATTGTCTTCTTTTCTCACGACATTTGTTGAGTTTCTGCTCTAAACAATTCTTTTCTGAAACAAAATATGTATTCATGAAATAGAAGCATTCGAACCTGTTAGATATAGGCTATAACATCCTCCTCATATCAACAGAACTTCATTGATACCACACTGATTTTCATTACTGTTAACTTTGACGATAATTACACACCACTCTGCAAATCCTTCAGGCTTATAAGAAGCGAGTCAACTTTGAAATTCGAGGACATTTTCAAATTGAGACGATTCACAAAGTGAAAACTTGTATGTTTTGAAAATCGGCTTCGAAAACTTTCACAGCAGACGACATTCGAAGACCGGAAATCACTGTGACACCGTTCCCAGCTCCTCGCACCGATAGTCCGTTCGCGGAGCTCTCCGCCTCATTCTGTGAAGAGTAAAAACGGCGTCACTCGTTGAAATGTAGTCTGCGTGTTGTTAAAAGGGAGATTACTCGCATTAGGTAATTTTGTGGTACATGTTCAGTGTTCGATTTGAGCAGCGTTGATATGACTGAGCAGTTTTATTTGACATGTTTGTATTTTATGTGTTAAACTAGCAGTAAATAATCTTTTGAACCCTGTCAAGATGAAGAAAATCAACAGCCGAATGAACCTTTCACAACCCAGCTGCGTTTCCTTATCAGAAATTAAATCTTTTACCAATTTGACATACCCACACCTGCTTCCACAGCCAACGCATACCGTATTTCCTGTAGTAAGCGCCTGGGCGTAGATTTTCGATGCTCTCTTAGCGCTAAGATAGTCGTAAGTTAATATTAATGTATGGCACTTTCGACTATCTTAGCGCTAAGAGAGCGTCGAAAATCAAGGCCCTGTTCTCTAATAAGCACCGGGCCTTTAATAAGCGCCGGGAGTAAAGCAGCTCACTAACAATTACGGTATTTAGACCCAATAAGCACGAATTAAAGTGCCGGGTCTCCAATATTTTAAAGCGTCGGGTCTGGAACTCCGTTGAAGAAATAAACATCCGGGCGCTTATTAGAGGAAATACGGTATGTTCACAGCTTGCGCACCAGATGAGGTAGGGCGGATGTGTCATGCTGGGTGATGTCTTCACTACCCTCTGTACATAGCAATATGTCGAAGACAGTGTTCATTCGACGACAAGCAGTCGGGATTACTCTCGGACTTGTGTCAGCAGTAGTATTTTTCCAGATATATTCGAGAGGTTCAGGTAGGTAAATAATCTATATATTTCCCGTTGATACTATCAGTATTGATATTATATGACAAACCATAAGGGATTCAATTGTCAACAAGGAGAGACACAGACACAGACACAGACACAGACACACACACAGACACACACACAGACGACACACACACAGACACACACACACACACACACACACACACAAAGACAGTGGCTTTAAGACCAGTGGCGGATCTAGAGGGAGGGGTGGGGTGTGTGTCCCCCCCCCAAAGAAAGTGACTTAAGACCACATTGAAGTTAATGTTTGCAATGGCGGAGCCAAGGTGAGGTTCAGGGTTCGAACTATAGATCTACAAACCACGACGAGAAAATTTCTGGATCCGCCAATGAAGACACACATGCAGACACACGTTATAAACGGTCTTCTTGTATATATATTCTAATTTGACCAACAGCTCAAGGTTTGGGGTAGGTCCTTAATCAACCAAATATAAATCAGACGTTATTTCATTGTTATTCTGGGGCGGTACAATCAGCGTACAATATGTGAAGCCCATTTCTGGTGTCCCCCGCCTTGATATTGCTGGAAAATTGTTAAAAGCGGCGTAAAACTAAACTCACTTTGGACTAAAGATCTATAACCACGACAGGTGTGTATGTTGCTATAAGCGGCGTAAAACTAAACTCACTTTGGACTAAAGATCTATAACCACGACAGGTGTGTATGTTGCTAAAAGCGGCGTAAAACTAAACTCAAGTTGGACTAAAGATCTATAACCACGACAGGTGTGTATGTTGCTATAAGCGGCGTAAAACTAAACTCAAGTTGGACTAAAGATCTATAACCACGACAGGTGTGTATGTTGCTATAAGCGGCGTAAAACTAAACTCACTTTGGACTAAAGATCTATAACCACGACAGGTGTGTATGTTGCTATAAGCGGCGTAAGACTAAACTCACTTTGGACTAAAGATCTATAACCACGACAGGTGTGTATGTTGCTAAAAGCGGCGTAAAACTAAACTCACTTTGGACTATAGATCTATAACCACGACAGGTGTGTATATGTCGCTAAAAGCGGCGTAACTAAACTCAAGTTGGACTATAGATCTATAACCACGACAGGTGTGTATGTTGCTAAAAGCGGCGTAAAACTAAACTCACTTTGGACTATAGATCTATAACCACGACAGGTGTGTATGTTGCTATAAGCGGCGTAAAACTAAACTCAAGTTGGACTATAGATCTATAACCACGACAGGTGTGTATGTTGCTAAAAGCGGCGTAAAACTAAACTCACTTTGGACTATAGATCTATAACCGCGACAGGTGTGTATGTTGCTATAAAGCGGCGTAAAACTAAACTCACTTTGGACTATAGATCTATAACCACGACAGGTGTGTGTATGTTGCTTAAAGCGGCGTAAAACTAAACTCAAGTTGGACTTATAGATCTATAACCACGACAGGGTGTATATGTTGCTAAAAGCGGCGTAAAACTAAACTCACTTTGGACTATAGATCTATAACCACGACAGGTGTGTATGTTGCTATAAGCGGCGTAAAACTAAACTCACTTTGGACTATAGATCTATACCCACGACAGGTGTGTATGTTGCTATAAGCGGCGTAAAACTAAACTCACTTTGGACTATAGATCTATACCCACGACAGGTGTGTATGTTGCTATAAGCGGCGTAAAACTAAACTCACTTTGGACTATAGATCTATAACCACGACAGGTGTGTATGTTGCTAAAAGCGGCGTAAAACTAAACTCACTTTGGACTATAGATCTATAACCCACGGCAAGTGTGTATGTTGCTTAAAGCGGCGTAAAACTAAACTCAAGTTGGACTTAAGATCTATACCCACGACAGGTGTGTATGTTGCTATAAGCGGCGATCTATTAAGATCTATACCCACGACAGGTGTGTATGTTGCTATAAGCGGCGTAAAACTAAACTCACTTTGGACTAAAGATCTATAACCATGACAGGTGTGTATGTTGCTGTAATATTGCTGAGCAAGGACACACATTTGAAAATGAATTTTATAAATAATCCTCTTTGTTTTTACCTTAAATACCAGGTTAAACTCGACTCCTTCTATATGTAAATAGAACCCGAGGCTCCATGGACCGTTTGGGGCAGTTGGGTAGCCTAGTGGATAAAGCGTTCGCCCGTCACGTCCGATTCCCCATATAAGTACAATGTGTGAAGCCCATTTGTGGTGTCCTCCGCCCTGTTTTTAGTGTTGGGAAGTGGTTAAAATCTCATAATTGATGACTGGTTCAATACAACCTATCAATCATCGAAAATAATTGGTTAGCATTATTTATCAAATGTTCCTGTTTTGTTTGTTAATGCACAAGCAATTAAAAATGCATTTGCAAATTTCACATCTTCAAAGGATGGCTAGTATGTTAGGAACATGAATGTCCTGGAGTCTTTAAGAGTGTGAGTGAGTGAGTTAATATTTAACGTCACATCGGCAATATTTCAGCCATATCGTGACGAGAACATTTGGGAGTCTTTAAGATGAATTCGATGACTTGAAACGAGCTTGTAGTGCTAATGAAATTTAAATTTAATGACACAGAAAAAACAACCTTGTGAAAAATATTGTTAATGCAAACAACTGTTCCCAAATTGTTTATGTTCGATTATGAGAAAATATGATCAATTGCTAAGACGTTTAGACACTGCGACCAATGTTATTGTTGGAAAATTGCTAAAAGCGGCGTAAAACTATATTCACTTTACGTCACTTGATGACCGATTTCGGTGTCTGTATGTCAGTATGTGAATGCGACTGTGTAAGCCACCACAAGTGTGATTTGGCGAAGAATTCGAAATGTATTCGTTGTAAAAAATGACTATGTTATGTGTTATAAGGTACATGTCGTGAATGAATAAAAACATTCGATTTTGGAAACGATTTTATCTGGAAATATAGAGTAAACGGCGCTTATCTTTTGCAGTATATTTCAAAGGATGTGTGTCCAATAAACGAAATGCCGCCATCCCTTCGTTCGTTTCCGCGTCCATCCCCGACGTCCACGATGACCGTTTCCATGGGAACAGAGAGGGTGGACAACCTCACGGAATGCGGACTTCCTACCCTGACGGCGACACGACTATCTATTTGAAGGAAGAGACTGCGGACATTTACCGCAAGATGCTTATTGACGCAACACCGTTCACAAAAGTGATCACAGGTTTAAAAAGAGAGGATGTTCCCGACCTTGACCTTAAAGGTCTGGCGGAAGTGCTGTCCAATATGTCGTCTGCTGTTGAGCTCCAACATCATCTCTACCTCCGACGTTATGTGCACCGGAAGTTGATGTCACAGATTCCATTCCGAGAGTTCACGTCAGTGAAATCTGTATGTACAGTGTATAATTAAGAATTGAACGCAATATGTTTTGCGTTTGCATACTGTGTAAACAGGATTCACGCAAAGTGTCCAGACCTTTTTTCAATTTAAACGCCTTGAAAACAAACATATTGAAGTAAATTCTTTAAATACGTACTTAAGCAGATCACTACTTTTCTCAATAGTACACAGTCAGATAACAATAATGGCATACAAAAGCATAATTAGTTTGTTAATATTGCGGTAGATATTTTGGCCTTAAATTGTTCTAGTATAAGGACATTCCAATAAAAAGTGGAACTCATATCTTTAATAACGTGTAATGTTTAAAAGTTACACTTTATATAATTCTCTCCACAACAGACAAATTAAACAACACTACAAATCTGTGACATTGTACAGCGGAGTCTGCACTGTTTGCCAAACATATAGCATATTAGCTAAGATACATAGCGTTCACTGACATGAACATGCCAGTGAACGCTATGTATCTTAGTCTAATAACATATACAGTCTGTTTGACTAGAAAGTGTCCCCATGAATTGCTAAATATATCAGTTGAGAATGGTAGTAAATAATAAGGTACTGTAATCGTATATATATTCTCACGGGGTGCATAACTACGATAACTACGATTACAGTAATACATATTACGAGGCAAGATGTTCATGAATAACCTATACCCAAACACCTTTTCATCAATTAGAAATTGTCATGCATCACAGAAAAAGTTGTTCAACAAACTATCATAATTATAAACATGATTGCCGCTGGGTAAAATCACTGACGTTGACATTGTGACCGACCCGCTGGGTAAAATCACTGTGGTAACACTGTGTAACTATGGTTGTTACTGAAATTAAAGCAGGTTACTGGTATCGCGATGGTCTCCAAAAGGCAACTGTCACACCTCTTGTTATTTCCATCAGCTCTGCCAGCTGATGCCACTGATGACGAAGTCACAGATCATTCAGAATAGATTTTGAGACGCACCCCTCCGCACCTGTCTCTTCCCGTTGCTGCCATGCGCCCAACTATCAACAATCACGTTTATAATGGTGATAGTTTGTTAAACAACTTTTTCTGTGATGCATGACAATTTCTAATAGATGTGAAGGTGTTTGGGTATAGGTTATTCGTGAAAATCTTGTCTCGTAATATTTATTAACTACCCTTCTAAACTGATACATCTAGCAATTCTCTCGAGAACCATATGGCCGGTTGTTTTCGGCATATATGAATAAGTGTTTTGCGGTTGAAAAACACTACTGGATGTCTGTCGGTCGAGAGATCAAACAGAATAGTTCTAACCAGTCGCTTAGAAGCAGGGCCTGTGGCCATGACGTTACATTTGCTGAATTTGTTAAATATGTCATAAATGAATCCAACAACAGGAACACTGTCATGGACGAACACTTCGCTCCGCAGAACACTCTCTGCGGTTTATGTAACATACAATATGACGTCATCGGCACCATGGAAACGTTTACAGATGACACACAATACATTTTACGAAAGATGGGTTTTTACGGCAAAGAATTTCACTTCAAGAATTTCGAGGAAGAAATAACAGGAGACTTCATAGCTGACGAAATTACTCGAACGTACATATTTCGTGATGACGTCACTTCCTGTATGACGTTTCACGACAGTCTTAGAAGATTATGGCGTTTGTTCCAAATTTATGGCGTCTTGTCTACAAAGGATAATTATCCATTCAGCGAGCGGGAGACGGTGACGATGTTGAACCTGACGGAAACAGTTCTTCAGTACCGCAGTCGTCGTAGTCCCGCAGACAACCAGAATAAACACGACGCCATGTTACAAGCCTACCGAACCCTTTCTCACGCGGATCTCCGATCACTGCGTTCACTGTTTGGAGATGATTTCAGGATGTTTGAGTACGAGAGCGAACCGGCGGACATTTTCAGTATGACTCCTGTTAGAAGAGACGATATCGACTTCGATTATTTTGACATTCTGTGAGCTTCTCATTGAGTACTGGACTGGTCATTCAAGGTCATTCAGAGTTGCGTCCCGATACACCAGAAACCTGTGATCTTGGATTCGAATCCTAGAACGCTACCACCATGTTTCTACAGTCTTTGAACATCTTTTAGAAGTGATACATATAAAAGGTGAACATTTATGGATGTCAGTAATTTATGGATGACAATTACGCAAATAAATGCTCATGTTGTCAGTCACTTGATTTTCTGGTCCAGGCTCGATTATTTACAGACCGCCGTCATACAACTGGAATATTGCTGAGGGGGGCGTTAAACAAAATAAAAAAAACCCCACCTAAACCCCACGTGCGCTGATACACAGTTTTGCTCCTTGCCAAACATGAAACAACGTCTCGCAAGACAACTTGAAACTTCGCAATATCCTTCGTTTGAATGTCGCAAAATATTTTCAACTTCACATTTCCCTTTTAATCGCCGCAGTATTTCCAAACTTACTCTGCTACTGTTAAATGATACTTTTACATTTTGTGCAATAGATCCAGAACGACATCTTGGCACAAATGTCACCAAATGGGGATAGCCTTAGTTTAATATTTACTTTCTGCTCGCTTTTTCAATCAAAAGATGATTGGCATCTGATAGATGCGTAGAACATACCTTCTTCCAGTCGAGGTTTTGTCTCGGTCGGTCCTGTTGCTGAATGACAGCTGGCTATTCAATGGTGGTCTGAAGTACTGTTAAGTGTATGAGACTAACCAACTTACTGTAATTCCTTTTTGGGTTTTCGGCTGTACATGACTGTTAAAGTTGGTGATAAGAAGGTAAGGTCATCGCCATGTGAGTTGCAGAAAAGCTTCTCAGGACTGCAATTTCAAACGGAACTGCAATACGTAGACAGTTTATGAGGGGTGTCTTGGTAGACCCATAGTCATTCATAACATGACTGACCGCCTCCGTGGTGTAGTGGTTAGAGCGTCCGCCCGGAGAGCGGACTGTCGCGGGTTCGATCCACGACCGCGTCATACCAAAAGACGTTAAAATATGGTACTTATTGGTCTCTGTCTGACGCTCGGCATTAATGGGTACAACAAGGACTGGTCGGCTCGGAGTCAGTATAATGTGTCTGAGTGGGGTATTCATGCTTCACTGCGGCATGGTATCTCAGTGGGCTAGCACTATAAAACCAGCTTCAGTCTGGGCTAGTACAAGCAGCCGCACGTATACATACACACGCATGCACGTCGTCATATGAGCGAAATATTCTCAAGCACGACGTTAAACCCAATTTCACCTCACCTCACCTCACCTCATAACATGACTTGCACCAGTTGGTCAGCAATTTATTTCAATTTATGCATGACATTTTATGTTTTATCACCTAGAAACGTTGTTGGTTTTGACCATGAGCTGGAATACAATTGTTTAATTATGTTGTGTATTTGTCGTATTTCTCTCAGTCTTCCCGTACGTAATATCTGCGTCACCTGATAACTCTTTCTGTAGTACTGTTCCGTGATTGCTGCAATTGACGTTACCGATGAAACCGTGTATAGTCTTTTAAACCGCTACTTATATTTTACACTGTTTTACAAAGTGTGACCTCATGGATTATGAACCCCAATCGCACGCCTGTCTATCTCAACGTCTATTTTCTGTTTTGAACACAAACACTACGAACGGTCCTAAAATGACCAAGCTCTTCATCACGTCAAATCACAAACGATGTCACGGTTTTGCCCATTGTCCAGGTCTTGAAATACAGGATAAGGGAGAAGAGAAAACCTGAAACGTAAGAACAAAATTCATCAAAGTCAGCCATTCACTGGCCGATAGATGATTACCAGGTAACAGAAATCGTCTCCATGCCGGGGCGGTGGGGTAGCCTAGTGGTTAAAGCGTTGGCTCGTCACAACGAAGACCCGGGTTCGAATCCCCACATGGGTACAATGTGTGAAGCCCATTTCTGGTGTCCCCCGTCATGATGTTGCTGGAATTTTGCTAAAAGCGGCGTAAAACAAACTCAGTCAGTCAGTCTCCATGCCAATTAGTATCTCAACGTGTGTATAATTTAAAATAAAAAAGTCTCAGAATAGTTCCACGACAATATTTGATTAATGGGCATACACACAGGAAAACGAATTATTCATTCAGTTTAGTGACAGTTCAATCAAGGTTGAACATAACGAATTTTGGCGGTGGGGTAGTCGAGTGGATGAAGCGTTTGCCCGTCACGCCGAAAACCCGGGAAGATGGGTACAAAGTGATTTTGCTGGAATATTGCCTAATTCATTTCCACAAACTCATCGAGCAAACTTCATTTTAAAAAGTTCTCATTCGTTTTATAAGTATCATTAGTTTTGTGAATCCAAAAAACAACCTACTGATAACAGCTATGCCAGCGGACAGAAGAAACAGGCCGTGCCACCCCAGGGTATCCTTCAGCTCAGACGAAATCGTTGCTCCAACCAAACTAAAAGCTATCTGAAAGCAGGAATACAGCGCTGGGGTTCAAATAGAAATAACAATCAGAAGTTGAGAAACAATTCCGTCGAAACTTATGAATCGGATTCAACTTCTCAAAGTCGTTGTCTATTCATAATTGCTCAATCACTTTTATTTGCCTGAAGTGTTCACGGATATGGAAACATGTTGTCACATGTCATGATCCCCACTATTGAGTCACCAATCAGTGTCCATCACACCATCTGGTTCACTGTGGCTTGAGTTAGTCGTGACAGGTTTGGACCGGCTTGTCAAACTGGATGACTCGGTAATTGCTCGTCATTGGTTTCCATTGTTCAATGCTCTTGGCATCAATCACTGGATTGTTTGGTTCAGTCTCGATTATCATCATCGAACCTTAATATCCATACCATGCAATCCTTTTCTTAACTGCTTTTCATCCTAACACAATTCCAGATCAGGAACATGAGATCAGAATTCCCAGATCATTACTGTTATTGTTAGAAGTTCAGCTCCAGGTCACTTACCCCAGCAGTGTGCACAAGCCCATAGTTAACTGAGTAGTACTTGTGTCCGAACATCTCTATGGCTATCAGGGGAAGGATGCTGAATATGCCGTTCATGGAGAAGCCGAGACAGCAAACCCAGATGAAGTACATGGGCTTGCCCCCGTACTCTGTAGTGGTTAGAGTAGCTTGGAATACCCCACAGGCTGTGATCAGCGTTATCAGGACGGGCTGGAAATAGGACGTACCTTTGGCTTTGATATACAAGTGGATATAACATAGACAGGAAATACATATATAGAAAGTTTAGAATATCATCTTTCGGAGGTCGATCATTTGAGATGGGAAGACTTATATCAAATGACGCTCATGAGTCTATTGACGAAATGCATGGTACATGGGGCCTTTCCGTCACTATTCACATGGGACTTAAATGTCATGAATCTGGACTGCTTTGAAATACTGTGGCAGAAGAAATAGCTGAAAAAGACAAAGCTGTTTGGCCGCGAATGTAATGATGAAAACAAGTTAAAACACTTATTTTTACCTTGTATGAATACCTGTCCACCATGAGGCCCCAGAACAGGTTACCAAGGGCGGTAGCTACAGCAGCAAATGAGGCCACCAAAGACAGGAAGTAATCGTCAGGGATGAACGTTTCTCCATACGGCTAAAACAAACACGTGTCTAGGATCAACTGGACATTCTAATCGAGAACTTAAAAACGGGTACAGTTAAACACTATGTATAAATGTAAACTAAAACAGGCTCAGTAAAACCTATTTTGAAATACATTAAAATTTTGGTTAGATATCTTAAAAACGAGTTCAGTTAAACACTATAAAGAAATACGTTTTGCTTAGGATACTTTAGGTTAAAAACGTCAAATTCTACTCCAATCTTATTATCCTCCCTTCCATAGAATATGCACGCCGAACACCCGAATCCCCACATGGGTACAATGTGTGAAGCCCATTTCTGGTGTCCACCGCCATGATGTTGCTGGAATATTGCTAAAAGCGGCGTAAAACCAAACTCAGTCAGTCAGTCAGTCGATAGAATATGATAGAAAATCAAGTTTTACGTCTTACGATCTTCAAAACAATTGATCAAATAATTTATTAATATATATATTACAGTCATCTTCTATATTCTCTATGTACGATTTTGAAATCAAGATAACGGTGTGCGGTTTTTCTTATGCACGGTGCCTAACAGTGGAAATGTTCTTCTGAAATGCTTAGGAACGTTTTAGTGTGCAACACAGACGTCGTCTGATAACCCTTCACGATGGGGCCATGAACGTAATATTTAGAACATCAACGGTTATCATGTTGGCTTCCTCCACATATTTCACCAAAAGCCATTAGATATGATGTATGCACGAGGTTTGAAACAAGAATATGAATGACAGTATTCTCACTGGGACGTGCCTTGTAAAAACCGTAGAAGATGTCAATGGACACTCCTATAGTGAAGTACACCATCCAGACGATGTAGAACCGGACTGTCTTTAGTGTTTCCATTGGGCCGAGATTTCCATCGTCAGCATGGCTGAAAGGCCACGATATTCATCCACAGTACAGTAAATAACAAACACGCTTATAAAGAACTGACGGATGTAACGAACTGTGCTAGGGGTTCTTATCTGCTAATATATATATACATGCACTTTGAAGAAAATAATTCCAAAAGTTAATAAGTTTTTAAAATTTTGAAAGACATTTATACGGTTGAAAATTTCATATCCAGAAGGAACAATAAATCTGATAAATTTTCAGACAAATGGTTTCCTTTATACTCAATATTTAATTTCTGACGTAATCTTAAATCAAAGGGGAATAATGTTACTGGAGTATATTCTCTCTATGCTATCAGTTGACATAACATTTTTGTTGAACCCAATGAACTTTGATCATGTATTTATGCATTTATTGCTTTACTTTATATGCTTGTACTCAATTATGGGAACAAATAAAAAGATTTAAAAATGAAAAAAAACACTGTGCTAGGGGTCATGGCTACATGGTGTATGTTTAAGTGGAAATCCGTATAACGAACTGCGGTTATTACGAACACAAATTAGTGATCCCTTTGTGTTCGTAATATCCGTAGTTCACTGTACACCAATCAGAGGAGTGAGTGAGTTTTACGCCGCACTCAGCAATATTCCAGCTATATGGCGGCGGTCTGTAAAAGAATCGAGTCTGGACCAGATAATCCAGTGATCAACAGCATGAGCATCGATCTGCGCAATTGGGAACTGATGACATGTGTCAACCAAGTCAGAGAGCCTGACCACCCGATCCCGTTAGTCGCCTCTTACGACAAGCATAGTCGCCTTTTGTGGCAAGCATGGGTTGCTGAAGACCTATTCTACCCCGGATCTTCACGGGTCCCAATCAGAGGATGTAGAACCAGGCTGTCTATGATATTTACGTCTATATGATAAAAGAACATACCCCTTGTTCTTGGTATAGATATATTTTTTTTCCCCATGATTTATAATGATTACCGATTATCGATACTGCTGATTATACCTTTAATATACCTTTCATCTCTGTTTTCGTCTTCTTTAGTTCCGGGGTCTCTCATTTCCTGACTTGTTTCCTTCAGATGAGGAACCTAAATGCATAATGTAATCATATGATCATCCACTTTTATTAATTGATCTCGTTATGTGTGGCTACTTTAATATATAAATAATATATGTTCCTTTTAGCTAAACTTTATGTTCCGAAACACATGCACACTTCTATTTAGATCAGTTTAAAATGTGCCTCTTGGCCAGCTTCTATCACACTTAATCACATTGCACTGAAGCAAACCATTTAGCTCACCTTTGTAAACCTTGCTTCAGTACTGTTGCAAGTTGATTAGGACATAAATGATTAGGGAAAACGTATAATACGCTAACCCATACATGTTATTGAAGCATATCGATACTGGGACATAACTGATATACGTTATTGAAGCATATCAATACTGGAACATAACTGATATACGTTATTGACACATATCAATACTGGGACATAACTGATATACGTTATTGACACATATCAATACTGGGACATAACTGATATACGTGATTGAAGCATATCGATACTGGGACATAACTGATATACGTTATTGAAGCATATCAATACTGGAACATAACTGATATACGTTATTGAAGCATATCAATACTGGGAACTGATATTAACTGACATAACTGATATACGTTATTGAAGCATATCGATACTGGGACATAACTGATATACGTTATTGAAGCATATCAATACTGGGACATAACTGATATACGTTATTGAAGCATATCAATACTGGGACATAACTGATATACGTTATTGATCAATACTGGGACATATCGTTATATGTTATTGAAGCATATCGATACTGGGACATAACTGATATACGTTATTGAAGCATATCAATACTGGGACATAACTGATATACGTTATTGACACATATCAATACTGGGACATAACTGATATACGTGATTGAAGCATATCGATACTGGGACATAACTGATATACGTTATTGAAGCATATCAATACTGGGACATAACTGATATACGTTATAGATGCTTGGTTACAACGTTACTGGAGCATATATATGATATAGGTTAGTGAAGCGTATAAATGCTGTGGTATAAAGGAAATATACGCCACTGAAGCATATGATTGTTGTGATCTATCTGATATATGTTACTGAAGAATATACTTGTTGTGATATAACTGATATATGTTACTGAAGAATATACTTGTTGTGATATAACTGATATATGTTACTGAAGAATATACTTGTTGTGATATAACTGATATATGTTACTGAAGGATATACTTGTTGTGATATAACTGATATGTTACTGAAGAATATACTTGTTGTGATATAACTGATATATGTTACTGAAGGATATACTTGTTGTGATATAACTGATATATGTTACTGAAGAATATACTTGTTGTGATATAACTGATATATGTTACTGAAGAATATACTTGTTGTGATATAACTGATATATGTTACTGAAGAATATACTTGTTGTGATATAACTGATATATGTTACTGAAGAATATACTTGTGATATAACTGTTATATGTTACTGAAGAATATACTTGTTGTGATATAACTGATATATGTTACTGAAGAATATACTTGTGATATAACTGATATACGTTACTGAAGAATATACTTGTTGTGATATAACTGATATATGTTACTGAAGAATATACTTGTTGTGCTATAACTGATATATGTTACTGAAGAATATACTTGTGATATAACTGATATACGTTACTGAAGAATATACTTGTTGTGATATAACTGATATATGTTACTGAAGAATATACTTGTTGTGATATAACTGATATATGTTACTGAAGAATATACTTGTTGTGATATAACTGATATATGTTACTGAAGAATATACTTGTTGTGATATAACTGATATATGTTACTGAAGAATATACTTGTGATTTAACTGATATACGTTACTGAAGAATATACTTGTTGTGCTATAACTGATATATGTTACTGAAGAATATACTTGTTGTGCTATAACTGATATATGTTACTGAAGAATATACTTGTGACATAAATGACCTACGTTATTGAAGGCTATAATTGATGTGATATAACTGATATGAGGCTTTAAAGTACGAGTATGTTGGGCAAGTTGACAAAACTCATACACTCACATCCTCATCCTGCATCCCCGGATCCTTCATAAGCAGGACTCCGACTGTACTTAGTGCTGCATACATGCCTCCCAGGAGGAGGAAACAGTAGGGAACTCTGTCCAGGACATTTTTTGGGTGAAATAACTGGAAAAAAGTTGAACTACGTATCAGATCTAGCGCGTTTACTACAAGACCCAAGCGTTTTTCAGAAATATTTTCCAATGCAGATTAATTATATCAAGAAAATAGAGAAATACTGTATTCAAATGTACCTTTCTTCTTCGTAAATCCAATTACCAATGTACCTTTCTTCTTCGTAAATCCAATTACCAATGAAGAAACATACCTGAGTACATTTAGTGTTTGACACAATTCATTAGGAGCTAGGCTTAAAATTGATATAAAAATATTTTGCGATCTTGAACAAATTGCCACAAATCATTTCAGAATATCCTAAAATATCTGTGTGTATGTTTATTCACTGATTGTCATTGATGTCTTGGTCAGGGGAGAGATTGTCAGGGTTGATGAATCTGGTGATGATCTGGTTCAGGGCGAATGCACTGCCGCCATAACAAGCATCTATTATTCCAATCACGAGACCCTTTCGTTCTGGAAACCACTGCACACAGAACATCACATGGTAACATTAATAAGGTTGTCTTTATAAACACAATATGCCAGTGCTTTGCAGCTACCGAAACGTCATGCTTTAAACTATACATTGTAATTCCTGCTAAAACATCAACCATCTTTATTATCCATCTTTATTATCCATTTTTGATTTTATTCATGTACGTTTGTGCAGTAAAACACGGTAAACAAGTGTGAGGGCCCTCTTCATTGACGTCACTTTCAATTGTTTAATGACGTCATTGAAGACGAAATGTAGAAACAATGGTTGCTAGGCAAACGTGATTAGTGCACATGTGCACATATGATATATATGACACCGGTTATGTTTCACCATATGGGTAATATATAGAGATTATTACAAGAGCAAGTGTGTCATACAACTTATACGAAACAAGTGTGAAGTTTTGTATTGCCCGAGCGAGAGCGAGGACAATGCATGATTTTGTATGAGTTTCGTATAAGTCGTATAACACACTTACTCGAGTGTAATAATTTCTTTATTATCCATTTTATTCATGCAATGTACATTTGTTCAGTAAAACACCGTCACAGTAAAACACCGTCACAGACAACGAAATACAGAAATAATGGCTGCTACTCAGAAGTGATATGTGCACATGTGCGCGGTGGGCGAGCCGGCTAAGGCGCCAGGCTAGTGATCCAGCGAGGTTGAGGTGTCGGGATCGAGCCCACCTGTGACCGGGTGTAAAACCTTGGAGTCAACTTTGTGTTGTCACAACCCCTAGTGTACAGTACACAACCCTGTGCACTTAAAGGAACCCACGAATCCGTTGGTATATGACCAGATGGTGGCCACATGACTACGTGCAAACACCTAGTTGCGGGTACAGCAACGTGCAGTGAACATGGACAAAATACTTTGACTTTGTGTCCCAGTCCATCCAGCTGTGAATGGGTGCCTTGTTAGAATGAGAAAGCCACAATAACTCGGTCGGCATAGTGGCTGCAAGAGTTGTATACTCCCCAGGGAGTTCAGATTGATAATACGATGTGCCATTGAGATTGACATCCAATTCAATGATCAAGGGAAACAATATCAGAGCCTTGAGCAAGCACCAGTGCGTGGATATGTGCGCTATATAAATATCCTATAATAATAATAAAAATGTGCACATATGGTATATATTACACTGGTTATGTTTCACCATATGGATAATAAAAACATTATTAACAACAGTAATATAAGGACA